ATAGAATGAGTAAATACGCAACGAAATGTATTAATTTTACTATTTCATCAGTATGTATAGTGAAAGCAGATTTTTATGTGCTTCAGTCTTCATTAAGGGGAGAATGTTAATGGTACATATCTATAATTGAAACAATGGAACTCACTGTGAAATCAAAAGCGGCCACCTCTTTGGCCTATATTGTGTGGTAAAAATCTCAGCAAAAACAAAAATCAGGGGATGTTGTGGATGGAAGTATCTGCACTAACAGATAGCTTTTGGCGAAGATCAGTGGACGTTCACTATTATAGCGATTAACATATGATACCAACTATAAACTAGGACCATCCATTTCAACAAGAAATGTGTCCAGGGGCTGCAAGAAAGTAGTTTTGGTAACCATTGCACCATTAGTTTCATCTTCCAACATAAAGGTGTGCTTCAGTGGTGTAAATCCCACCAAAACTGATCTGTTCACCAATAGAAGATCTTCATGTGGTCAGAGGAATATCAATACACGCTATTTTGTATAGATAAGAGTCAAAGTGACAGCTCCATTAAGCTTTGGAACCCGTATGTATCGTTTCAACTGTGTAAGCTGCTGGAAGTTAACCAATGTGGTGCATTTTCAGGGTATGAACTGGGTCCTTTTGTCTCTGTCAAGGGTCACATTGCATCTCACGAATATCTGAGTATCGCCAGTGATCAAGCGCACACTGTTTTTATCCTCAAGGTATTGGTATTTTCAAGATGATGATGCCACCATCTACTGTTCGTGATGGATTTTGAGAGCACAGGAAGGTGTTCCCACCACCTCCTCTAGTCACTACACCCAAAATTTCAATGTATAGGAATGTGAAATCGGAGAATATACTATTTTATCGTCAACCCTGAAGGAAATTAGATGTACTTCCTCAGGGTACCCGAAAGTGTTCTGTTTCAACAGTATATAAAGCCAAAATTAAGAATAACAAATATTTTTATTTCTTGCTTTTGAACTTCATGTCATGCTGTGTTGTAACCTATGGAGTGCATAATTTTTCTCGTGATTAATGGCGTGTGCAAGTTTTACAAGTCACGACAGTACAAATTGCAACGTTAAGCGTACCTTATGTGACGTCATTTCTGTGTCCACTGACAGCCAACACACTACTGTATATTTATGGTTACTGTATCCTGATTTCTCCAAGCCCGTTCCCTTGGCTGTGGTTTCGTTAGATAGGGGGCAGTGGGAATCTCGTTAATCCATTCATGCGCGTCACTAATTAGATGATGAGGCATTTGGCTACCTTAAGAGAGTCATAGTTTTATTATTCGGGGTAACATATATATACATGACCCTACTCGTGCGTTCCTATTGGACATACTAGAGATAAGCTGTCTCATTACAAAATATGTAGTGTTTTGATAACAAGAGCTCCGACTTCTGCAATAGCCTATAGTTGAACTGATATTTTCAGCAAACTAAAACAATTGTACTTATATGTATACAACTATTGAAATCTCAGTTGTTTCTTTGCAAATTCTTTCTTTGATCCTGTTTTTAATTAACTTTCAAAGTGCAACATTTATTATTGTTAAGCGCTACATAATCACTTTCTTATTACAATTCGGGTTATTTTAAGTTTCCTTTGAGTCGCTGGACGAAAGAAAAAATAGACAGGTTCTACTTTAATAAAATGAAAATTTCTCAATGTGATGTCGTTCGCTACTGGTGTTGATACTCCCATTTGACTGCACTACCTCTAAATTATTCGCTCGCGTCCAGCGTGGAATCCTGAACTGCAAATATTCTGCACAGGTGTTATGTTTAGATTTTAACTAGTGAAAACTTTGTTGTGAAACTAATCTTTATTTACGTTAAATCTGATTTCGTGATGTGATATACTGATTTTTTTTTAGGATACTTCCACAAAGTTACCACCTCATTTTGAGCCGATAGTCTAGAGAAGTAGCTACTTAAGAACACACATCGTCAAATCTTTGGATAATCTATTTGCGAGATTTGAATATTTGACCGCCACTATTATAACGCACTCACGGTCCCAAAGTGTGGATCATGATTTTGAAGAAATTAGACGCAGATAATAGATCTTCGGATTCATAATCCGGCACGCTAACGTATAGACAATAGTGTTGAACTCTAGAACCAAAAGGTCAAGATTTCAGATTCTAATTACTCCATACATTTCCTTCTCGATTCGCCCGTTATTATGTGGACTTTTTCAGATATATTCGATGATATCGGTATTTGAGAAAACCACGTGTGTACAATAAATCTAGGACTTAATTATTTTAAACTTCGTCAAAAATGTATAATATGTCATTGTATTTACATATGATTTTATTCAAAACAATAACTTCCAATACAAAATATATTGCACATGTATAGCTTTCTATTATACACTCAAACATGTTATAACAATGGTGGTATTTCTACAAGGCTTCATTTTGGAGCACTGACGTAACACGACTGTTCCATAAACCAATGGTGGGCAATCTTCTATGACACAAACCTAACTCCGTCTAACTTACTTTGCATATACTGTACATGTCGCTGTCCATGTTAATTGTAATTACTATACCCTTAATGGTAGTAATATTTACATAGCAGTTTTTACGACTTCATTTTTTTTAGTTTGTAATTTGATACAATTTATATGCGTCTAAAGTTATATCTGCGCTTCCGAAACACAGGTATAAATCACTGATCATCTTCCAATATCTTAGTTAATTACGCAAATCCCCACCGTGAAGATCATTCTGGAAAAAAAACTGTCGTAAACAGGTAAACACACAGTTAGGTGTTTTGTAGTCAATGTTACAATATCATTTGTTGTTCATATCAACGTAACCATACAAAATTCACGTTTATTGAAATTGTTGTTCAGTTTCAAAACACGAATGTATGGATTATCGATTAAATCTCTCGTTACGAAAAGTTGTCTACCTTCGTAAAAAATCATTCGGATTGACGATGTCGGAACTAAAGAGCACTATTTGGATACAAGGTACAATTCTTTGCATTAATACTGTAAAAAAACGAAGCAATATTTACGAACTCATCTTTTAAAAACAGGTATTTTCGTATGTTAGACATTTATCATTATGAAATGATTACATATTCGAATAAACGCTCACAATTTCAAAATGCGTCAACTGTGATCAATTTTAAAAAGCTGGGTTGAAATAGACTTGATATGCAAAGATTGTTATTTGTTTAGCGTGGGTTATAAAATAACTTTTATATTAAAAAGGAGGACAGACTTACGCTTTTTAACGTGTATGGGTTTATTTTCGATGTATCAGCTTGAATGAATGTTGAATCTTCATTTTGACATACAATATGCATTCAAGCTGATACATCGTTAATATACATATATTTAGACCCATTCTTCTATAATACCAATAATGTTTTCACTTCTTAAGAACTTGTAAATGATAGAAACAAGGGTTGTGCTCCCTGTCCTACAGTGGGGGGGGGGGGTGTATTGTGAAAGAAAGAAATCGTGATATTGGCAGAAATGTCTCCTTGTGACGCGCTTAAGTTACTAGTCATTGTTGCGTGTTGTAAATGTATTACACGTGTTTTTCTCTCTCTCTTCATAACGTTAATTTATATAATGGTTGACTTAAGGTTGGAACTGGGTGATTTTGGAACTACTAAAATTATTCGAAACTTCTGAACGCACTAATTTAAAAAAATTATTTTTCATACATATAGCCCGTGATTTATATTCATATAGGCCATGTGGTTAGGGTGCTTGACTCGCAATGTGCGGGTTCGAATCGTTCGTCTCACCAAACATGCTTGCTTTTTCAGCCGTGGGGGCGTAATTATGTGACGGTCAATCCCACCATTCGTTGGTAAAAGAGTAGCCCAAGAGCTTGTGGTTGATGGTGATGACTAGACGCCTTCCCTCTAATCTTTCACTGCTAAGTTAGGGACGATTAGCGCAGATAGCTCTCGTGTAGCTCTGCGCGAAATTCAAAACAAACTTGTATTCATACAGTAATGCACAATGGATAATTTAAGCAAATTTAAAAATGATTCTTCTACCCACTCACTATATTTAACAGAATATCGTCCATGGTACGAACATCCACAGAACATGACGTACCACAGGAAGTTCGTGGTACGATTATCAATTGGAAACCTTTATTTTTTAATATCGATACACCTAGTTTCAATAAATGGAGGGCATGTAACCATTGTATCTTTATTTTAACTGTTGTCATTCGACGGTCATTATTCAAGGAAAAACTGTCCAACAATCGAGAATATTCTTTTTTTCAAAACAAATCTATGAATGTGAAGAAATCTTTATTACTGATGTAACATTCTTATATAAAGAGTAAGCAATTTGAACCTAAAGTTACTTTCATATCCTCAGATCAGTTTGCATTTGTACTAAATATTTCATTAAGCATTTCTTTAAAACTACTTTATAATAAATGCTGTTATTGCAGCACGTCACACAAGATACTTGTTTAATTTTCAGTTGATAGACAAGAGAAAAGGCAGCTGAGCTAGTTAATAGCACCCACAAACCTCAGACTAACTTACACACTCAAATAATAAATTTAATTGCTACTTTTAGGGCACACAAGGCTCCAAAAGTGCAGAGCACGTTTCAACGTCATTGAGTCAGAAATCATGAATCATTCAATTAACAATTATTGCAAAATACTTTCACTCTTATATTGGAATTGTGTATAGAATACTAATTTAAAACATTTTATATTCATATTCTCACTTTTGTACACTGCTTAACCATAAATGTAGTGGTTATTATATGCAAAGACAATCTGTAATTTAAATAAAACTTCTCATGAATTAAGATTTCTTTTTTTTTTGTATAGGGGGCGAATTTTGTTTTTGAACTGAAATATTGTTAGGTTTGTATTCTGGATGTTTTGAATGAATATTTGACAAATCTTGTTATTTCAAGATAGAAGGCTAATTCTCATCTATTTTGTATTGTTAAACATGCCTGTATAGTAAATAAAATCACTCATCATACTGTAAGGTCATCAGAATTTATTAAATGAATGGTTTTAAACTTATGCAAGTCATCCTTAAAAACTATTTTGCTTGACAACTAGACCTATTCATTTGATCCTATTGAGTAACCCTAATACATCTAGTACTGTATATAGGAAGGAGGATACATAATTACATTAGCTTTAGAAAATAAAAATAGAAAAGGAAAAGCATTGAAAAAAAATTAGAGCAAACATAAAAAGTATTAGGAATGTGACCGTTTAAACCACACAGTTTACAGCTGTCCACAATTCTGAATAACAATCTTTTTTGAGGTTTTGCCATTTTGACTCCCAAAACTTTCTATTTTCTTCACTATTTCCATTCCTTCTACAACCTGGCCAAATACCACATGCTTGTTATCCAACCTGCAAAAAAACAATTGCAAGTCTGTTACAAAAAACAACAACCTTATGTACATAATTGAAAATGAGCTTAAGTTATTAAAATTATTTGTATAAGAATGAAATTTACCAGATTGTACTACTCAATAAGTACCAAGTGAAAGTACACTAAATATGCTATATATCATGCTGACAGACCTTTCATCCAATAACAGGGCTCTTCGGGCCATGTGGGGTATGGAAGAGTATTTGTTGAAATGCTATTTATATTTAACAAATCATCCAACATCAACTGTTATGTTGTGCACTGAATCAAAGTTGCTGATACCACACTAAAGTAATTCCAAACCTGTCGTAATACCTCATTTAAACATTAGTATTGGTGATTAATCATAACCTTGTAAAACTGCTGATACAGAAGAGTAATATTACTTAAAAACTGATTTTCTTGTCACTCACTAATTATATGGCCCAACTTGAGGATGAGAACAAGATAGAGTTGAAAAGGCTAAATCTAGTATTTTTCTTAATCTACAAAGCACCTCTTCTCTTAACATTCCCATATGTCATTCTTTATGTTAATGCTATCTATTATCTTGCTTTTACAAGTTTACAAACACTCCTATACTACTTAAGCTACATACTTTATTTCAGTACTTTCTTCGTATATCAAATCTATATATACTTCTAAATCCAAGATACCTATACAAAAATCAACCTTAAATATCACATTAACTTACTCAGTTACTTACCAGGCTGTTTTGACAGTTGTAAGAAAAAACTGGGATCCATTAGTGTTTGGGCCTGCATTGGCCATAGAAAGAATGCCTATGAAAAAAATAAAAAATAAATATAGAAACTTTGGCACTTTTCCCCAGCTGAAGTTTGTGAAGCTGTTAAAAATAAGTTCATGCTGTGAAGTGAGAATAAATTACAAAGATTCTGGTCAGAGAGGATCCATATTTCTCTTTCAGCTAGAAATTGGAGCAACAAAAGCCAAGTTTAACCAACCCAAAGCATTTTACTTAGACTTGTTTTTAATGCTCATTTAGTCAATATATCATAGAAGAATGTCCCAAAAACACACTTACACTAGTCTTAATTGCAAGTATTATGTTACACGTATTATATAATGCCCCCACAGCTGAAAGGGGCGAGCATGTTTGGTGGGACGGGGATTCGAACCCTCGACCCGCAGATTGCGAGTCGAGTGCCCTAACCACTGGTCAGAGGAATCAATACACAATATTCTGTATAGATAAGAGTCAGTTATGTAACAGGCCCATTAAGCTTTGGAGCTTATGTGTTGTTTCTACTGTATAAGCTGCTGGAAGTGAAATAATGATTTAGGATGCATTTTCACAGTATGGACTGGATTCTTTAGTCTCAAGGAAGGCCAAGATAAAACAAGATTTTTGTTGATTTTTCCCGATAGAAAAATTTAAAAAAAAAATTGTTTTTTTCCCCATGTAAATTGGTTAAGCATTTTCATGAGAATAAAAGAGACCAGTGGCTATCTTATGCACATGTACTGTCCAGAAAAAAAGCTAAGTTAAATTTCATACCTGGAGCAGTGTGCTTCAAGATGAAGTTCTCATCTTCAAACTTCTCACCATAGATAGACTTCCCACCAGTGCCATTATGCTTAGTGAAGTCGCCACCCTGACACATGAAGTTTGGAATAACCCTGTGGAAGGTGCTTCCTTTGTAACCAAAACCTTTCTCGCCAGTACACAATGCCCGAAAGTTTTCTAAAATTCAACAACACAAATTAGTTTTAAAAATAGAAAAACATAAATAAACAGCTTAAGTAAAATCCTTAGCTATATTATAGCTCAAACTTCAGTATATCTAACTTTCTGATTTTCAACAAGCATAATAAAAGTATGTATTGACCTGTATAATTGCTGTGAACTGACAAACCCAACTTCAAATTGTACAAACTTTCAACTATCTGTTCTCGCTACTTACTTAACACACTATTTCTACAAGTTTCTAAAATTATAGTTTAAAGTAAAATGTAACTGAAGAATATAATGAATTTTCATAAACACAAGTTCATTTTGATGAAGTAAAACTGGGGGGAAAGTTCCAACTTGAAAATTTTGTAATGGAACCATAAACAGTAGGCCTAATTTACAGATAGAGCAAAGCTATAAGACCACTTTCCACAAGTGTGATTGAGAACAGCACCAGAGGTAACTCCAGCAACAAAACTATTTTTTTTCCCTTCCATTTACCTCTCCTTTGTTTCTCTTCCCTTTATTTTCCCACTAACACAAATTTTCAAAATATCTATAATTACTCTTAAAAGTTAAACCAACCTAAGATAGCAAAGAGCATTTATTCAACAGCACTTTAGTAAACTCCACGCATAAAGATAAAAGGTATTTTACTGTAGCAGAGAAAATCCTATTTATCAATATATACAAGTTAGCATTTACCACAGTGTCCAAAATCTTTTTACCTTCACTTCCAGAGGAGTGGTAATGGTATTGCAATTGGGTTTGCATGCATTTCCATGCATGTATCTCAAACTTATATAGACCAATATATACAAAAATTTTACATAACATGGAAAGTCAGTATGGGATAGTCTTTCCCACTGCCGTGCCACTTAGATGCAACAAAAAAAATTACCCAGAGCATTGTTCATTCTGGATCCGAGAAAGACAGTTTTCAAAGGTGAAATTTGACATTATCTAATATAAATACATGCAATCTTGAAAAAAAAAAAGCAGAAGGGCCAGGGTATACAATCTTTTTGACTACTATTGTTATACATGTTTAACCAAGTTTATATTGATTAAAAAAATAATAATAAAAAAACCACAAACAAGCACAAGAAAAACTAGCAATTAGCAGTATTTTTCCTCAATTACAAAGAAATCAGTTAATCATCTCAGTTTATATTGTTCTTGTCTTTGCAACTCACCTGCTGTTTTTGGTACAACATCCTGTCGAAGCTAGGAAAAGAAAAAATACAGCAATTATTACATTTGACATCTTTTTGGTAAGTATTTCTATTAAAAAGCTTAATATTTATTGGGTCAAACTATTTAGACTTTACAAAAGAAATGTATTTCTAGCAACTGTAATAAATTAACTAAAAATTCACAAGTTATGTAACTAAACAAACTGAAAGAATAAATGTTGAGGCATACTTTTTACAGCATATCTTACCATTAATCCAAATGTCTATGACAATTTTAATATTCAATTGTCAAGTCATTAATGGAATTAATTTCATTTCCAAAATGAGGACTGGTTTCTTTTGAAAAAAAAAAAGTTCCTGAAACAGTATGTACATTACATACTAATTTTCACAAGTTTTTATTAAAGCATGCTGAGTCAACATGAATGTGCATATGCATTTAAAATAAAAACCCAAAGTTTTATACAGAATAAGAGGTTTAAAGACTGTTAAATACTCAACATGCTAGCTATATTCTGACTGTAAACCAATTTTAGTTTAACCATAAGTGTAAGGGTGTGGTTCAAATTGCAAATGCCATGACCTTTTACAGTCTCATTCAACAAGATATGCATTTCATGCAAGTTATCAACTATTCATTTTTCCCTATACTGCTGATTTAATGAGTTATTTGGGAGAATATAACAGATACAATATATAGGGATACTGAAAAAACTAAAAATATATTACAGTTGAGAATATAGATTTTTTAGATAGCACATGTTTAAAAACCATTCTTTAAAAGAACAGACGAAAGAAAAAGGAATTGCAATAATCCTGTGTGATCCTATAACTAAAGTCCTCTGACAGAACCACAGAAACAAAGCCAAGTCAATTACATTTGTCATAAAACAGTTTTAGGGACTAGATTAAAAATGTAAGTAACATTAATTTCTGAGGATAAATACAATTGCAATTATTCTTGCCAGCTTGTAAAAGACACACACACCATAACAATTGTTAAAGTTCAGATACCATGATAAAAAAACAATTTTCACAGTATCTTGTGACAGTAATCTCAATACCTCACTAATAACTGGCAAACTGATAGGGATACAACCTCCCAGATCCTTCTGCAACTCTTTTTGAAAGTAGGGTCACATTCATACACTCCCAATCAGGAATTTGTGACAAGGCTTTAAAAATCAGTTATCTACCAGGCTTACTGTTTCCTTAGGTTTTTCTAAAGCAAATAACTAAAAGAAATAACTTCATACTTATGTAGAATTACACTCATTGAATACATTTTTCTTTCAGACTTTTTAAAGTCTTTATATAGCCATTTATTTTAAACATGAGAGATGGGTTGAAATGTATGGCCATTTTTCTACCAACAGTTATGAGACCAACTAGAGCTTGCTGGATTTTCAAAACATTTAATCACACGTTATGTGTGGATGAAACATTTGAGAGCTAACAACTCTCCAGTCTTCATTCTAATTTGCTCAACTCTTTCTTATTGGGATAATGTTTTTCATATTTGATAGTCATTAGATCCGTCTACTTATTGCACCATTAGTATGACTTCATGAAAATACTTAACATTAACCCTAGGTACACAGAGGGGGGTCAAAACATGCATGTCTCAACTTTTCAATTATATTCAAAATTGAACTTAACTATTAGCAATCTAGCTCAAGATACAAGTTATTCCTAAATGCATACTAAATTACCAATGTAAAATAATTAAGAAAAGTATAATATAAAAGTTTCCAAATAAAACATTCTAAACAATAGTATTAATGAAAACATCAATTGAGAAATAGAATATACTTTAGTTACAAAATGAACACTAGCTGCTGTAGATTTAATGTTCACTGGATGTAACATCACTACAACCATGTATAAGCAAAACTTGTAATACTACCTAAAACTATTTTGTGATCAATAAAAAATCCCCTTGAACAACTCCAACAATAGAACTTTATGAGGAGCCTAACATTTGAGCTAAATTAGACATTACTTTAGGTGTGGAATCAAGTAGCAGTACTTAAGGGTATTATTAAAAACTTATTTAGGAAGATACAAAAAATAAGGAACCAGATGGATACCTCAACCAAACAATAAAAAAGTTAAAATATTACATTTTCTTTACTGCTCAATGTTAAGTATAATGAAAGATAAGATGTTAAAGGTGAATAACAATACTCCACTTTAACTTCCAATATAACAAAACACAGAGCAGACAAAAGAAAATAATAGTTAAATTTCCTGTTAAAGCTGAAGTGTAAATGAGATTAAATTCAATTATAATACATAAAGATGAAAGACAGTTCTTACTATGGCAAAGAAAGTAATCAAAAAGCAATGTAACTAATGATGTAATAGCTAATATTAACTATATACGATAAACAAGCAAGAGGTAAAGTTAATAGTTGTCAATACACTAAAATTATTATTCTAAACATCCCAAGGAATTAAATCATAAACACGCAAGTTTTTAAAGGTTGCAATACTCTGCAAGTCTTCTAAACCCACAATCTGTAGCAATAGTATTATCAACAGATTTGAATAAATTTTGGATGCAAAACATACAAGAAGCCTTGGTTACAAAAAAATTGGCTACTTTGTGAACTATCCATATAATGTAACAATGTACAAGCTCTATTGTGTCCAATATATTGATTAGTAAACATTGTGACAATTTAATTTAGAAAGTTTTCTTTTTGGATATTGAAAGTTAACAGCTTCACAGCCAAGCATTTCTTTAGCAGAAAAGTTTGAACTTGAGTGTTTGATTACCAATATCTATGTGGTGTGCTTTTTTTTTTTTTAATACTCAATAAAATACCACTTCATTAATATGTACAAAAGAATCTAAAAATTACATTCACAATAAAATGTACAAGTTAATTCATAAGTAACTGTGCTATTACTGTTGAAAACCTTTTCCACAGTCCAAAATGGTATTTTTACTCTTAACAAAATGTTTTAGTATGTATACTAAAAAGTTAAATATTTTGGACTATGTATAATAATTTGCTTTGATTTTGTGTGTCCACAGGGTTGGGGCATCACAGCCCAAAATATTTTCAAAGGATGACCTAGCAAAAATAAAAAAGTTCAGACAAGCTGCCACTACACTACTGTCACTAGTTATACATAACACTAACAGTTAATACTCATATCTCAAACTCCATAGGTCATATGAACAAAGTTAATTAAAAATAAAAGGATTTATTTTTAAATTAAAGATGGGAAACTTATTAACATGTGTATACACACACAAATAAAATATATATATACACACACACACACAATGTTTTGAGACAACATGGGACCTATTAGTCCATCTTTGCTGTTCCATCATCTAAAATAAATTAAAATAATTTTAAAGCCATCCTTTATCATTCATATACTTAAAAGCTCTTTCTTGAAGTCACTTAAATTTACCACCTCTACAATATAACTACTTGAGACTTGTATCCTTCTCCTGTGGCCCTGGGTAGCATAATCCTTTTCTTCCCCATTTACATCACAAACTATTCTATTCCCATGCCTTGTCAAGGAATCACCTATAACTATCAGTATAAACTCCTTATCAATATCATCCACATCCTTCTCTGACCCTTTTGTTCCCTTCCTTTCAGTAGTTCCTCATCTGCAAAAGCAAAGGGCTGAAACCTGTTGCTCAACGAAATAGGCTCATTATAACAAAATTCACTACTTTTTACTCTAATAGTACTCTAACTTCCTGAAAGTCATTGTTAGCTAATGTATCCCTTGCATGTAAAAGCTTGAATTCCTCCTGAAATTCTGCTGCCATTTCCCACAATTTATATATTTTTTTTATCAAATACTTCTCCAGCCTACAACTCTATCTAAAAATTACAGTCTTCATTACTGCTGCTAGTTTACTTAAGTTAAAAGTACATTCCAGTCCGGAGTTCCCAAATAAAACCCACGCGTTATACCTATTACACCTAACAAACTGTGAACGATTAACTCCTACACTAGTCTTAACCATTATAGCCTGAAAATAAATACTCAATACCAAATACCAGTAGCCTATTGTTATCACTGTTACTGTAGTTACTAGTAGTACACCAATTATACATTACAATTTATAGTACTATACAGTTCCACCCTCATCCCGGGCATTTCTTAAGCATAAACTTCTCTAACATGAATAAGACTATCATTAAGTTAACTTGATTAAGACTCGCAAGTAAGGCGAGGTCCATTAGTATTATGCAGTACCAATTATTACTTTTCTCTTTTCAATACAAAACTATAATATTCTAGAATTTATTTCCAAGAGTACTTACGACTGGAGTGAAACCGCAACAAAAGTTAAGCCTACGTTTTTCAAGAATTAAAATTTAAATTAGAATTTCACTACCGCACATAAAACTGATAATGACTAAACTTAAAGTAAAGGAGTTCCCATTTAAATAGAAAAAATAACTAACTTACCTCCATAACAATTCGACCTAGAGGTTGATTATCGGCTGTTATATCGAAAAATACTTGTGGCTTAGCCATTTTGGTGCAGAATCTAGCTCCGAAACGCTGGATTACAAAAGATTGGGATTTATAAAGATTTCCTATTATAGACAGCCGGCAACTATGGCGGCAAACGTTCAAACACACGTGAATCATCACCCTTATATACGTTGTTCAAACAACGCTAATAACGACTGGCAAGTTATATTTTACATTTATATTATTCATTTAAATTATTAAAATTTCTGATATCATTATGAGTGTCAGTATTTATGTGTAGGGAAATGGTATTTTCTTTTGTTATATAGTTCAAAATATTCCATTAAATGCATTGGTTTACATTAGAACTCATTACTATTTCGGATGCTTCTCAGAAAAACTACTTATGAAAACCCCGTATTGCATTTTTTAAGACCTTATAAAAATGTATCTTTGCGCTACGTAAAATTTTGTACTAACACGACGTCTCTGAAAGAAGTCCATAAATAATATTATTTACATCTGTTTCAAATAAGAAAAACACAATACATTGCAAAAATTCATAGTCTAGCTCATCGATGAGGGTCAGCTTTAGAGCTTATTAGAGAGAGCAAATATACTTTTAATAGAATTGTAATCAGCATTTTATTAAGACCTTATAATACTTTGTTTTTGCTTCCATTTTGTGTAAGTTTATGTATTAGGTATCGCGCGTGTTCTAATTATGAATAAATTCCTACATACAACAGTCAGTGATGTGCATGTCAAAAACTTATTATATTTTGTGATCTATAAAATTTGATATGCTAAACACGCAGTGGTGTAGGAAGGAGTTGCAAAGTGGGGTGCTTGACTCGACATGCAGATAATATAACTTAAATTTGCTATATAAGTCAAATATGTAAAAATATGTAGCACCCCGATTCCGACGCCTCTGACATAGGTTACAAATATCGCCGCTTACGACATTGTTTATGTGGAATAATGGCACTTCAAAATCCCTCAGGCAGTTAGTAACACACATATATATATATACATATACATAACTTTTTTTAAAAGCCGCTATGATTTTTAGCCAACCAACGAGACATTTATGTATTTGTAACAACTATGGTGATTTTTGGAGGCGACTGCAGATCTTCGGGATTCTTTAAAACTGAATGGTTATCCTGAAAGATTGGTTAACAAAGTTTTCACCGTTCATAACAAACAAAGGAAAAAGAACAGGAGTCGAGAAGAAATTGTTACATATCAAATACCTTTCATTAGTCCTAGGGTAAACAATATGATACAAAAATGAATTGATGGAATTAGATTTGCCTATATGTGGGATAGAAAGGTATAAGCATTCGCTTAAATCACATTTCATTTAGTGCGCTCAACATTTAGGCCACGCAATTATTTTCAGAAGAACAATATTAGGGTATGTAACCCATGACTTCCGAAGAAACGTATGGAAAAAAGATGTAGCTTACAGTATTTCTTGGGGTATTTTTCTGACAAAAAATGTATTGGAGAAACTGAGATACCTGTAAAAGAGTGTTGCATGAAACATTTTTCCTGCTACGATGACAGATGAGGTTGATAAAAGTGCAGTTGCAGCACATTTGAGAAATGAGCATGGTTCGCCTAAATCTGATTACCCTTTTAATACAAGGAGTCCATTCTTATCAGATCTGAAAATACTTCAATTAACAGAGATAGAAGGTTGTCCCTTTATATGGTGAATTTATGTATATGTATATATGTGAATGTGTTAACAACTTCTGGTTTGTTTCTTTTATGATTATATATATATATTGTTACGATAACGGTAGTCACGTGACACTGGTAACACGTCATGGGTTTCTAGAAGGATCATGATTGTTCCCAACAACTCTAGTCTTTTCTACG